TTTGGAATTGGAACAGCAGTCCATAATTTTTTTAAGAACCATAATAGAGGTCCTACTGTTGACCCCATGAAAGGTTAAGGCAAAGAAGCTGGGGCGACTATTTCTAACAGTGTTTCTCTTCTTCTCTCCCTCTGTCTGAAAACTAGAGCACCTCATAATCCTTTGGTATCTTTAATAAACTTGGCAGTGTGTCAGTGCTGTGCAAGGCTCAACCAGTCAGTTGGACCTTTGTAATGTGTAGAGAGTGAGAAACTCTTTGATCGGGTTCCACATTCCTCACATTCAAGGTGTTCAGGACATACTCTGCAATCATATTAAACCCTGTTGGAGGTTCATTTTTCCATGTGAATAAGTTCAGTACACCATCCCTCTAAACAAAATGCCGATGGCTTCAGTCAGAGCTAAGGATTTGATACTAAGAGAAGTCGATGGGAAGGAGGAAAAAAAAACATATCAAGAGAATTGTTTCTCATCTTTCTTCTTCTGTTCTCTCAGTGTTACTCAATGTTTAATGTGGTGGAGAGGAGAAAGGTTTAATGGAGATCCACAACCGGATAAACAGTTGCAGAGATCAAAGCTCTTTCAGTCTAAGCTCTTGTCAGCGAAACCTAAATATACAGAAACATTGACAGCCCATGCTTTCCCTCTCCTCCTTCACTTAGTAACACAGGCTTTCGAGTCTAGTTGTGTGACGGCTGGAAGTGATAGAGACTGTTTCCTCAATGAGCACGGAGACTCTACAGGGAAATAAAAACATCTCTGAGGAACCAGAACTTCGGAGGTTCTGGACACTCTGTGGTTACCTTCTCAGATCAACAAGCACAAAGTGAAGCAAAGACAGCCATCAATCTTAGCTGGAGAGAAGTTTTTCACTCAGAGAAAAACAGTCTGAGGAGTTGAGCGGTCGGCTGATTTATTTAGGGAATAGAGTAAATTTGGAGTGGGTTTCAAAAATGTGGGAGGAATGCAGCGCTGCTGTTTGAACAAGGCTCAGAACCAATATTGTTGTAAGTGATGAAGGTGGCAGAGCGTGGTAATAGAGACTCTGGAAGGATCCTGTTCACAGAGGAGTAGCCAGTCCGCCTAGCAGGCCGCAAACCTGCACACAGGCTGGTTTTTCAGTCTCAGTTGGGATACGAGCATCGGAATCGCTTGATTCACCAAGTGATAACTTTGGTTACACTTTACTTTGAATTGAGACTTCGTATATAAGAATATAAAAATAAATATATATATGTCTTGTTAATTTGTATACAGTGCTCAAAGAAAATACAGAAATCACTCAAATAACACATCCTAGATCTGAATAAATTAAATATTCTCAATGAGTAGTATGTTCTGCACAAAGTTTAATATGCCGACAACAAAACCACACAAAAAACATCAATGGAAATCCAATTTATTAACCAATGGAGGCCTGGATTTGGAGTCGCACACAAAATAAAAGTGGAAAAACACTAAAGGCTGATCCAACCACAACGCAATGTACTTAAACAGGTCAAAATGAGGCTCAATATTGTGTATGCCCTCCCCTTTCCTGTATCACCCCCGTACAACAACTGGGCATGCTCCTGATGAGGTGGCAGATGGTCTCCTGATCTACTCCCAAACCTGGAATAAAGCATCTGGCAACTACTGGACAGTCTGTGGTGCAACATAACGTTGGATGGATAGAGACATGATGTCCCTGATGTGCTCAATCAGCTTCAGGTCATTACATAGCTTCAATGCCTTCATCTTGCAGGACATACTGACACACGTCAGCCACATGAGGTCTAGCATTGGCCTGTATTAGGAGGAAACCACAGACAAATGCACCAGCATATGGTCTCACAAGGATTCATTCCGCTACCTAATGACAGTCATGCTACCTCTGGAGAGCACATGAAGGGATGTGCCCCTATCCCACACCATTACTGACCTACTGCCAAACCAGTCATGCTGAAGGATGTTGCAGGCAGTAGGTCGCTCTCCAGTGTTTCCAGACTCTGTCATGTCTGTCACATGTCCGCAGTGTGAACCTGCTTTCATCTGTGAAGAGCACTGGGCACCAGTGACAAATTTGCCAATCCTGTTGTTCTCTGGCAAATACAAAGCACCCTGCACAGTGTTTTGTCGTGAGCACAAGACAAATCCGTGGACAACGGGCCCCCAAAAAACCTTATTGAGTTAGTTTCTAACATTTGTGCAGATACATGCAGATTTGTGGCCTGTGGGAGGTCTTTTGCAGGGCTCTGACAGTGCCCCTCCTGTTCCTCCTTGCACAAATGCCGTGGTAGCGGTCCTTGCTGCTGGGTTGCTGACCTTCACGTTTCTTGGTTTACTGGCCGGTCTCCTGGTGGTTTCTCCAGCCTATGCAAACCTTCTTGCCACAGTTCACATTGATTTGCCATCCTGGATGAGCTGCACTACCTGAGCCACGTTTATGGGTTGTAGAATATGTCTCATGCTACCATGAGTGTGAAAGTACAACCAACATTCAAAAGGGCCAAAAACATCAACCAGAAAGGTTAGGTACTGAGAAGTGGTCTGCAGTCTCCGCCTGCAGAATTATTCATTTATTGAGTGTCTTGCTAATTGTCAATGATTTCAAACTGTTGTCTATTCCATTTGCACAACAGCATGTGAAACTTATTGTCAGTATTCCTTCCTAAGTGGGCAGTTTTTCAAAGAAGTGTGATTTACCTTAAGTTATATTGTGTTGTTTACATATTCAATTGATTTTTTTTTAGCAATGTATATATATGCTATATATAGTAATGTATATACATGCTTTTAAAAAAAGAGAAAGACATTGTTGGTTTGTTGCAAATATGCATGGTAAGCAAGAGTTAATCAGATTGACAGGGTGGGGGAATAAACGGAATCTGTTGTGGGGGGTTTTCTAGTTATAATGCTCACTGCTAGCTAAAGGTAAAGTCTAAACATTTTGTGTGCAGGATGTGTGGGGTCTGCACAGACTCTGAGAACTGACTCTTGAGTAGTATA